CTGGGCTTTGAAGGAAAGACACAGGCCAAAGAACTGTGTGGCTTGTTCTCGGTGTGTAAAAATATCGTCATTAAGTTTTTCTTGTGGTTTTAGGACATGCTTTTGGAACAAGAAAAACTTGAGGTTGGTGTCATAGGGAGTGGCCGTGTAAGGATCAGCTCAGCGTCATTCACCTCTGGGTCATGGGTGTGCAAACATACACCCAGCTGAATGTTTTAGGCTGTGGAAATTTATCCCTGTAAAAGCAGCAAGCCTGCTCCTAAACAGGCATGTTTGCAAGATTAGGTCCATCATGACAGACCATAAAATCCCTCAGAAAGCTGCTCAGAAGTGGGCACTGGAGATCTATTGTTTTCTCTTTCTTCCTCCTACTTTTGCTTTTCTACTTTTTTCCCCCCTCCTCTGTTACCAAATTGGAAATGGATGTGTTATTTTTTAAATATTGGGCTCTAAAATAGTAAGAGCAGTGATAATAGCTTTTACCGAAGCCAAACACGGTAAAAAAAAATGCTTAGCTGGTCACTGTGGAGAGGGCTTGAGCTGTCCAGTTGAGTGCAGTATGTTGTTGAATATACCACCCCCATACAGACTGGCGCCGCTTAACTTTCCCTGTCACATCACATCTTTGGCTTGAAGTCAGTGAAGCTGTTCCTTAAATATTTAGTATTGCCTTAAACCAGGCCTGTGTCACAACATGCGCATTACATAATATTTTCAGTCTTTAAGTCAAATGTATGTGGACCTTGCGTTCATAAACTGTGCTGAGCTGACAGCAGCAGTGATGGGCAAGCCCTGCTTTAGTCATGCAAAGGATGAAATGCTGGTAGCTACAGTGGCAGCTCTCCACACGCTGCGGTGTGGTGATGGTTTTGTGGGTCCTTTGCTAGCCGGCACATGAGGCACGGCGTTTCTCCTGTGGGCTGACAAGCTCCAGTGTGGAGCCTTGTTGCCAGAGTTCTTCCCCATCCCGATCCAGGGCTGCAAGGCGGTGCCAGCCTGGGGCTTGCCACCACCTTTGCTGCCCTCTGGGAGCCTGCCCTCCAGTTCTGGCTTCCCAGCTTTGGCAATAAAAATATCCTCAAGTATCCTCCCACCTCACTGTTCATTTATTTTGTGTCTACCCCGCACAACGTGTTGTCTTCCTCTCCCTGGCTCTGCCAGCAGAGCAGTTTGTGCGTTGGCTCGTTTGGCTTAGGTTGCATAAATTGTGGAAGTGTTTATTTGGTTTAAATTAAAAACAAAATAAAATTGGCAAGGTTTTTTGTCAGGCAGATCGGCTCCCCAGGCTGCTCCTCAGATGGGTTGCAGGCGGTGGTACAGGGGCGAGAATGAGCGCAGGGGACGGCGAGGCAGGGATCCCCGCCGAGCCCTTGTGTTGTGATGCCGCAGCCCTTGGGAGCCGCATCCCTGCAGTTACAGGATCAACTCAACTGCTGGAATTTTTATTTTTTATGGGTTTTTTTGGAAACGATGCACTCGGGAATTTCTTGGCCTTCCAGATGCGCTCGCTCGATGTATCTGAGACAAGTTTTCAGGGCCAAAAAAGATGCAGAAGAGCCAGCAATGCTGCGAGCAGGTAACGTCACCTTGCAGAGCATTGCTGTAGCTGAACACGGCTCTGAGGAGTAGAGATGGCTAACACAAAGTTATGTTTCCCTCTCTATGCTTGGCCACAAATTCAAGGTTACCCTCAGTGTTCAGATGTACTGTGGCGCTTACAGCTGGCAAGGAGAGCATACGTAGCTTGAGTTTCCCAGATGAGACTCGAGTTGGCTGACTGCTGGAGACCAGATCAGTGAGCCCATCATGGAGCTGGTTTTATATCCATGGACTCTGGAGTGCCCTGGCCAGAATCAAAGAGAATTTCAACTTTTTGGATATTCTTTGGAAGAAAATGGAGAAGCAAAAGCATATTAGCAAGGAAGAATAGAGGCAGCAAAGCATGGTAAAGATTGAAACAACACACGTGCATCTTGAACCAGATGTTACACTACGCTACGTTTTGCAGCGTGTGCGTAAGTACTACCGTACAGTGCGTGCGTGCACCTTTCGGCACCCTCCTCCCTTGTCGACACTGATCCTGGTGCACAGATAAGCTGAGACACAGTCTCTGCCCTGAAGAATTTGCACCGTAACTGGATGCAGCTGGAGGAGGAAAAGGGCACCAGGGCATGCAGTGGTTTGTCCGAGGTTACACTGTAGAATGAAATAGCAGAGATTCCTGTCCTGCCTCCAGTGCTCTGCCTGTTGGGTACCAAGATCATAATGCAGCTTTTTATGCTGACTTACTGTCCTCTGCGAAGCTCGATGTTTTATAGGTATTGATTATTTAAGCCTTGAGTTGTCTCTAATAGAGGAATGTCATAATAATTGTTAATACAGAACTTATTTGAAATGTAACCACAGATAAAATAGCAAAGGCAAAAGCAAGATCTAAGCCGATCAGTTCTTGATATAATGTAATTAAATGAGGCTTAAACATAAAAAACATTAATTCAGCTTTAATGGCATGAATTGGTTTGGGTTTCTTAAGAAACAGTTGAAGAAATACAGAATAAAACGGTGAACTCCTGGGCATATTGAAATGGATGGGAGCTTTGCCATTGATTTCAGTGAGGCTCGAGTTCCTCCAGCCTCGCATCAGCAGCGATGCTGAGCTGCCCACCCTGCCTACATTACTCTTGCTGCTGCTTTCCCTCCTTACTCACCATGCAGCTTCCTCTGGCGCTGGATGTGTCACTGAAGTTGCATTGCCCCAGCGCTTGGGGAGGAATGGGGATGAAGTAATGCTGCTGCCTGCATCTGGGCCTAAATTGCATCCTGGTTTTTATTCATTGTTCGGTACAGAAGTCAGAGACATTCTCTGGTGCCTGCTGTCTCAATCCACTGCAATAAGACTAGTCATGTGCTTAACTTTAACCACATGCTTTAGTGCCCTAGTGGCTTGGGTCTGAAAAGGCTGAATCTAGTATAGCTTCTTTTTCTCTGCTTTTGCTATTATTGTTAAGGCTGGATGTGGCAGCCAGCACTTTTACGCAATTTTTTTGCCTTTTGGAGAAAAAGAGAGGAATTTACTTTTGCTATCAGCAAGGTTGCTAGCAGTTAAATTGGCCCGTGCTAGGCTTGGCAGTGCACGTCTGCTGTGACAGAGTGGGCTGACTGAAGGGGGTCCCAGACTTTACTGCTGCTTCTGGTTGCCTGCAGATAATTTTGTGCAGGACTGGGGAGTCATCTTAGAGGCACATCTGTTTCTGCTGTGGACCTGATCCTGCAGGCTTTCCACATGCACAGCTTCTCTCGGAAATTATGAGCATGCAGGGTTGCAAGATTGGTCCTATCATGACAATTTCCTGGCAGAGGGAAAAGACAGAAACTATTTTTAAATGAAAGCTTTGAATCAGAGGAATATTGCAGAGTGCAGCAAAAAATTGTGTCAAAACCCTGAAATCATGGACTCGGCAGTTTTCTTATGCCAGCGGTTTTCTTCTGTTCATGGTTTTAAGGCTGTGTTTTTGGAGGACTGGGCTGAGTATTTTTCAATGAGATGTTTCTGTTCTCCCTGGTGCACATTATCACAGCGGCAGCATCGTTTTCTGTGCGAGTCAGGCTGGAGAGAGGAGATGTGCTGTGATGTGTTCACAGGGGTGGGACTTTGCAAAAAAACCCTGTACTCTGCCTTTCACACAGTCAAAATGGTTCTCCTTTAAGTTTGCCCAGGAGTTCATTATTCGGCCTAGCCCCCCGCCCCATGTTCCTACCTGGGTATACATTTCCAACTTTTCCTTCCAAGTTTCAGTGCTCAATGGTTGCTTGGGAAAAGCAAATAAGAGAAAGTGTGTGACTTCTTCTTAACACTGAGAAATTATGTCCTCTTTTCCCCATCACTCACTTTTGTATAGCTTAAGAATGACCCAAAGGGCTCTTGCTCAGATTTTCATTTAAAACAAGCCATCTGATTTGATCCAAGATCATTATTTCCCCCCAAAGCACTCTCAGAGTGATTTGAACATGTGAAAACAGGCAGTTTATAACCACAGTTGTTTCCCTGCCTTTGATAGAGTGGTCACTAGTCAACAAACGTGAAATTCACTGCCTCGGAGGGAGATGCTTTAGTTAATTAGTTACAATGAGTATTGTGCTAAGAGACTCACTGCTGCTTGCCCGTATATTTGCCTGCTAATCTCACTTGCTGGTTTTGCTGATCCTGGTCTACATATTGCGGCTGGTTTCCCATACCCGCCCTGTGAGGAAGTGCCCACAACCATGTCGACGCAGGGGAGACGATGAGCATCTTTCTCTTGGGCCACTTTCTGTGCTCTGGAAACCCGAGGGGCTGGGTCAGCCTACTTCACAGATTTCGCTCTTCTGCTAACATGAAGTTTTCCAGGCTCGGCTTGGGCTTACAAATTGTAATTTTGGTTGCACGTTTCTGATATCGTCTTTTAGCAACCTTTTTCCCCCCTTTTTTCTTCACCCATGTGTCCCTTTGCACTCTCCTGCAGTGCTCTGTGCATTATCTGACTGCCTCCTTCCTCATTGCAAGGGGCTGCGTTTCTCTGTCGCGCTCTGCCCGGGAGCATGTGGCTTTTGGTGCCACTCTTCATTGTTGCCGCTGGTCATTTTTGGGACTGTGGGGTTTTGGCAGCCTGCAGGGGCTGCCTGTAGGTGGCTGTGACCCCAGCCCTGGCATACTGACTCTCCTGGCGGTGCTGAGATGGGCCAGCCTGGTGCTGCCTACACACCATATTTGCAGAAACCCGTCTCCTGCAGGCTGTAGGGGGCTTGTCTGCAGCCCAGGTCTGTCACACCATGCTGCATAAACCATAAGGCAAAGTCCGACCCGGCGATGAGCAGTGCACAGGATCCTGTCCTATCCTTTACTGTTTGCATATGTGAGGTTAAATGGAAGGGAAAACCAATCTGGCACGCCTTTTGGTTTGAAAACTTTGGGGAGAGGCAGCTGTAAGCCTGGCATTCACCCAGCTTTTGCTTTTTTCCAGGTGACCTGGTGTCTCGAGCGATGCACCACCTCCAGCCCCTCAACGCCAAGCAGCACGGGAACGGGACGCCGATGCACCAGAAGCAGGGATCGCTCTACTGGGAGCCAGAGGCTCTGTACACCCTCTGCTACTTCATGCACTGCCCACAGATGGAGTGGGAAAACCCTAACGTGGAGCCGTCAAAAGTCACACTGCAGACCGAGAGGTAACAGCCACTGCACGGTGCTTAATGTCATGGTGAAGATGTTTTGTTAATAAATCAGCCTGACTGGCTAATTGCTAATTACAGCTTGCGCGTGAGAGGCCGTGGAGCAGTCTGGTTTGGTTTAGGATCACCTTTTTGAAATCCGTTTCTCTTGCCGAAGCGCTGCGTGGCTGACCCAATATATATCAAAAGTGACACCCAGTGGCTACATACAGCAAATTGGTTCCAGATGTGCACTTGGGAGAGATTTCCTTTTCCTTTCGTTGTTGCTCAGCTCTTCTGTGTTTTGGAAAAGAAAATGAGAACTTCTATTTCTGGCCTAGCAGGTTCGGGTTTAAATGTGTTTTTTCTACGTATTAATAGGGCTTGACAGCTGCGATTGGGGAAGTGGAAAATGAATAGAGTAGTGTGTGGAAAGGAGAGGTTGTTAAAGATGCTGGGCTTCAGCCGTGCCAAGTACCCGGGCGCAGCGGTAACCTCGGGGCTGCCCCGTCCAGGGATGTGGCAGGCTCTGGCTGTGCTGCTGTTGTCCCCCTGCCGAGGATGGCCAGGGCAGGGGAGGCATGCCTGAGGCCCCCTCCTGACTCAGGGTTCGCCTGTAAGGTGAGAAGGAGATGCCACTGAAGCTGGTGATGGGGTTACCAAATGCCGGCAGGCAGGCGGGGCGCCCAGCGCAGGGCAGTTCTGCACCTGGGCACTGCAGAAAGCAACTGGGACAGGTTGCTGGCCAAGAAAATAAAGCCATCTCCTGTCAAAAGCCCAGCAAACCCTCTAGTAACAGAAGCCTCCCCTTGTGTGCTGAGGAACATTGTGCTATTTCCCTGCCATGCTCCTCACCGGCCCTAAACCAGGCTTCCCCAGTATGGAGACGAGAGGAGTGGCTGGTGCTTGGAAAGTGCTAGTATTCATTTTTAGGATGGGTATCATGGTGGTGCAAATGCAAACTGCTTTTTCAAGCTGGGCTCCACGGTTACATCCCGACGTATATATCGCGCTGTATGCGCGAGCCAAACGCTGATCTGCACGTGTGCCCTGGGAGCCGTGCATATGGGGCTTGGTTATTGTTTCAGTATGAGGTCTGCATCTGAAAAGCAGCATTTGAGAATCTCATCGTATGTGTAATCGTAAATGGTATACAATATATCTTCAATGAAATACTTTTATATGGATTCAAAGAAAAGCATACAAGATGAAACTCTGGCATTAATGATGTTACTGGGAATTTTGCCATTTGCCTTTGGATGGCATTTTGTTTCTTTTCAAGTTTGGGTCGCTCTGTGAACTGTTTGTCACTTTTTGCTCTATTGTTTCCAAAGTATGACAAAAACAGAAGGGAGATGATAAGAATCCAGAATTTTCTCATTTTTCTAAATTATTTTTAATTTCATGGTTTGTCATCCAGCCTTTTTATTGCAGAAGGCCTAACTTGTGTCCAAGAGTGGTTAATATGCACAAAAAAATAACCAAAATTAGAAAATAACCCTCACCTGATCTCTGGTCCCCATCTGTGGGAGTAATGCCACTGGAACCAGTGGGAATATAAAGGTGAATAAAGCTGAGGCTCTGGTTTTGTAAGATATCTGCAGACTTCCCTGTGGAAAGTGAAAAGGGCAGGAATATTTGAAAAATCACTTTTAGCATTTGCTTTAATAGGTTTTCCTTTCTCTGAGGTCACCTTAATACATGTTCTCTTCGTTAGAGCACTTGAAAGACTGATTATTTAAAGCGGTTGTTCTTCTTTGCTTTATTTTGAATACTCTGTCTGGCAAGACGTCTTCCTTTGGCAGGCCAGTTTAACAACTGCGGTGTGCGGTTAGGGCCAGAGCAAGTACTCGTTGTTATTGCCAAGAGCTTGTGGTCACTTTTGGAAGGAGCAGATACTCCTCCTGTTGCCTAATCAAACATGCATTAGTACTTAGCGCTGGAGTGGGAGCGATGCGGGGTTAAGCGTGAGCCTAGATATTTCCATGGGGCTGTGCTCTGGAGCTTCATCAGCTGGACGCAACCGTCCTGTGCTGCCCGGAGAAGAGATCAGTGAAGCTGACTTCTCCTTAGTGCTCTGAGGCGCCTTCCTATCTATTTCCCAGCCTTTTTTTACATGCAAGCATGCTTTGTGGTGCAAATTATTTCTGGCGGTTTCAGTTTCCACGATCAGTTTTTGTGCGTTGCGGGGGAGTGGATTTGTTAAACATGACATTTTTATACGCAGAATATTTGCAAGCTTTGTGCCATACCTACGTCCGTATTCTCTGTCGTCTTCTCCAACTGCAGCAACTGCTTTTATGTTGGAAGAAGCCCAGAAGGAAGCAAGGAGATCCAGGCATCTTTCCCCATCCTTGGCCTCTCTGTGTCCCAGCTGGTGCAGAGAAGCCAGGACTGCACGGATCTGGCTGTAGGCAGTATTTCCATGAAATGAGGGTTGTCCTTGGCTTACATGAAGCCAACTTGGCTACCGTCTTGGCCCCCTCCTCCCTGATCGTGCATGGCCAGCGTGGAGAGGGTTGTGGGATGTGGCCAGAGAGTTCCCCTGGCGCTTGCAGGGCTCGGCGGCCCCATGAGAGCAGCTCCTGTCCTTCCTGCCCATCTCCAGCCCACCTGAATTTCGGCTCTGAACTGGTTTGAATTAGGGAGTGTCCTTTTGCAGGTTGGGTACAGGAGGGAAGCTGGTATGGTGGCGGTCCTGCCTGGCTTAGCACTTTCTAGCACAGAAAGCGGTACCTCCCTCAAAGTCTTGGGGGATGCGTAAAATGGGATGTTTACCTTTGAATAAATCTGGTGCTTTGTTTCTAGGGAGTATTTTCTAGGGAACGTTTCTCTGTGTTTGCTCTTCATGGAGGTAAAGAAACAAGAATGTGCCGTGTTTTTAATAGTGTTTGTCTTTACATAAAATGAAAGGGGAAAATGATTATACAGTGAGGCTCTTGCAGGGGGCCTGCTTTCATGGGAGGGGGAGGAGGTGGAAAGTGGCCAGGATTGCTCAGAAAACCTAGAAAAGATTCCCCACTTCCTAATGCCAGCAAACCCAACTATCAGATGGGTGTGTGACCCCCTCCCACTCCAAATTCATATTCTTCTTTTAATCGGGTCACTTTGGCAGAAGCCCTCTGATTTTTTTTGGCTGTGTTGTTGGCACCAACACAAGCCAGTCCTGCTGGAGTGGGTTATCTAATGGCCCCGGGTACCATGTAGACAGGTATTTTGGCAGGCGTGGAGGTACAGGAGGGGGTTTAGACCTTTGGGGTCCCCCTTCCCTAATGGACCCAGCTGGGATGCAATGGAGACATTTGTATTGTGCCGGTTGTTGCCTATGAAGCAGTGCTGCTCTGGTGCCTCCACCTGTGGGTGGCTGCAGATTATTTAGGTTTGTTCATTCTTTTGCTTTCCTGGGAATTAAAAAAAAAAAAAAAAAGGAATTGTACACGAGACCACTGTTACCAAGATTTCTTTCTTGCTTGCCGCTTCTGGTTTAATAAAAGGATCTGTCCTGTGGTGGTGTTTTGTTTCTCAGCCTCTATAACACTTCCAAAATTATTGCAAGTAATTTCTTAAGCACCGGAAAGTGCAGAATCTGTAGTTGCAGATTTGTGTGATGGTTTTTTTCCTTAAGTGGTTCCTTACCCACTTTTATCCACAGCTGTATTGACAGAGTCCTCATTACTTCCTAACTCTCCATGTTCCCCATTAACAACTCATTGAGAAGCGGTGGCTCAGCAGCTCAGCCGGTCCAGAACCACCCATTAATTCTGCTCACATGCAGCAAAGTTCCTTCTCCAGCATTTCCTCTGCCGCTCTGTCTTGGAGGAGCATTAACTCCCTGTACCGCCCAGCAGCCTTTAGCTTTTCCCCTCGAGTCTTAATTGAGTTGATGGATACGCATCTGGTTTTAACCTTCTTTTCACTTCCCTTCACTATTTTTCCCTGTATGCAGAGCAATCCCTTAGGAAACTCCCACGGGCTATTGCTTGCTTTTTATTTTTCTGCCTGCCTTGCGCACACGCACCACCGCCCTCCACCACCG